CGCTCCAAACACCCTTTCCTGGCCTGCTGGCCCCTCCAGCCCGCCGTGGGGTTCTCTGGCTGCGGCTGCCCGCCTTGCGCCTTTTGTCGGGGCCCTCGCCCGCCAAACTTTGGCGTGGCCCACCGCGCATGCGCGTGCCGCCCCTTTTACGCCCGCCTCCTTGGCGTGGCGTCGCCCTGCTGCTGCACCTCGGCTTCGGTTTCGCTGCCCGCTTGCCCCGCCCTGCGCGCTGCCCCGCGGCAGCCGTCTCCCGCCGCGCCCCCGACGCTCGCCTGCCCTGCTGCTGCGCCGCCCCTGCGCCCCGACGCCGCTCCTGGCCATTGCCCCGTACAGGTCCGGTCGTGTCGCCTTTGATCGTTGTTCTTTATATTCCTTTTCTTCTGGCTATTGCGCGCCCCGTGAGGGGCGCCTAACGCGCTGGCACCGCGCCGCGCCGCGACGACCGAAAAGTGTGTGTGTGTGTGTGTGTGTGTGTGTGTGTTTGTGTGTGTGTGTGTGTGTGTGTGTGTGTGTTTGTGTGTGTGTGTGTGTGTGTGTCTGTGTCTGTGTCTGTGTCAGTGTATGTGTCTGTGTGTGTGTGTGTGTGTCTGTGTTTGCGTCTGTGTCTGTGTCAGTGTCTGTGTCTGTGTCTGTGTGTGATTGTATGATTGTATGATTGTGTTTGTGTGTGTGTGTGTCTGTGTTTGTGTGTGCGGCACATCGGGGCTCCATTTCGCGAGGATGTCTCAGGCGAGTTTCCCGTTGTCCCAGAGTTTGTATACATTCATTGAATTCACTTGTGTGTGTGTGTGTGTGTGTGTGTTGGAGGGTGCTGTGCTAGAGTGGTTGAAGAAAACTGTGTCTTTGGATCGTGACGTCGCCATCTGCGCGAGGGGTGCGCCGCTTTTCAGATGTTTGAGGATGTCCAGAGCGAAACGGCCAGACAACAAAAACGCGACTTCAACCAATCGCCTCTGAGCCCTGCTTTCTCGTCGGATAGGTGCGCGTGATAACCTATACTTGACTACTCATGCATATGTACACCGCAGATGCACGTGTGTATGCTCGCCAGCGAGAGCAACGTGTCGGCATCTCTTTTGTCCCGCTTGCAATCGCGTTGCTCGCAACCACCGCCAACCTTGTATGTATGGCAAATTCATGTTTGAAATCCGGGCGGCCTACGGGTGCTTTCAACTTTCGCATGTGAAGCAGCTCGCGCCTTGCTCTAATTGTCCCCTCCAGAAGAAACTTCCACACATTCCAGAGCATGTCGGCACGCGGCGGGGGGGGAGGAACGTTCTTGCTGCTCTGCGTCGGCTTCCTCCTGCGCGCGACCGGGCTCTCCATCACTGATGTCTTCCCGAGGGAAGGATCAACGTATGGCGGCACGTATCGGAGATGCCTGGCGGCATTGCTGATGCCCGTTGTCGAGAATCTGATTGGGAGTGGGAGAGGGGGTATCGGGCGAGGTTTGGCGTGCGGCGTGAATTGCTGAAGGTGTTTTATGGCATTGCCGATGCCTGACCCCAAGAGTTCGACCGAGGGGAGGAAAGGAACTCCTAGGTCGTCCCCACGGGCGTGAAGATGATCGCGCTTCGCGCGTCGCGGCCTGGGCTGGAAAGCAGCCCTTCTCCAGTGGTTCTCGCGAGGGCGCCAAGAGAGCCGCGGCGCATCTTGGGGCGCGACGCGCGAAGTTGTGCGGTCGGGGGTTCTCTGGTGGGGTGCCACGAGGGTCGAGCGGGGGGCCGTTCCCCTGCAGTCTGCAGGCGGTTGACCGGTAGCGGACAGTAAGCAGCGGCAGGATGCTGAAACATGCCCGGCGCGGCCTCGGGCTGCCCCAGCGGCGGGCGGAGCACAGGCGCAGTCTTTGCGGCAGTGGGCTGCTCCAGGTCGAGCACATCTTTTCGATGCCGCGCCATCTCGCCTCCGGTTTTCTCGAACTGTGGGCCGCAGTCGGGCAGATCGTGGCAGCGATTTTTGTACCCCCCGAGCGTTTTAGTTGCCATCCGCGTCGTGGCCGCTCCTGTCCGTGACCCAGGCCTTGATTTGATGTTGCACTCGCGCAGCCGATTGAGAATCCGTACGGTTACGGGTTAGGGGATGCCTGTTACGGGCCCCCTTGCACAATGCGCTCCTGCCAGGGGAGGGGATGGGCGCCGTGGCGCGGGAAAATTTACGACAAAAAACATTATGGCTGGCTCTCATGGGTCTTGCCCTCTGCACTGTGGACGTGGGTCACCAGGAAGCTGGGCTCGTGAGCTTTTCACTGGTCTCCGTCCTGTGCGATGTCCCTCCAGTGAGGGGCGTAGGACCGCAGATCGTTCTCCCAGCGGAACCACCTCGTGCGTTTCGGACGCCGTGGCCTCCCCCCGACCACGTCCATGGGGTACCGTTCAGAATCTTGTCGGCGTCACCTGCCCCCACATGCTCCTCCCCCGCCCACTCCGGGGTCCCCTCGTTTCATCGGCCCACCCCCATCGCTGGAGTCGATCCCCGATGTGGCTATCCTCTGTTTTGCGACCCCCGCGTCCTGAGAGGCGGACGAGGGCCGCTGGCTGGGCGTGCACACTCTCCACCAGCAGCAGCACTCGCTGTCTCGCCACTCGACAGTTCTCCGGCACAGCCTGCTGGGCTCCGTCCGCGCAGCGTGGCCTGCTCACCTCCACTATGCTCGCGTGGAGTTCTCGTAGACGGGATGATCCATGGTATCCCATCCTGCTGCTTCGCGAGCAGTTCTCCCTGCTGCTTCGCGAGCAGTTCTCGTGGACGGGATGATCCATGGTATCCCATCCTCGTCAGGCATCCGCCGGATGCCCCCGATGCGCCTCAACATGTCATTCTGCACGGACGCGAGCTTTCGCTTCTCCTCCTGCGTGAACTAGCAACCAAGGTGCACAGCACCACGAACCGCTTCTGGATACGCATGTTTCAAACAGGCAGAGGCGTTTCGGTATCCGCCCACGGGAAGGCTGCAGGAGGCCATAGTTGGTGAGACTTGGCCCACGCGGCTGCGAGGCGCGATTGCATCTCCACAGTGCAACGCCCTTTTAGAGGCAGCTGCGTCCCGAGTATTTCGAAACCAACCGTATCAGAAACGACTGGACAAATCATGCTGGCTACTTCCAGGTGCCCGCCAAAGGCCGCCCAGAGCCGTCGTTGAGGTATCTTGGGCCATCTTGCTTTTGAAAGCGCGGGCCCACGGCATTTTGCGAGGGGTCGCGGCCGCTGTAGCGCGGCTCCGTTGCTTTCTGGGAGGAACGGGTCAGTCGGTGCGGGGGGCGCACGTGGCGGCGCGCTGATAGGGGTGGGGTGTTAGAACAGTACAGAAGCCGTATCAAACAGTTGACGGGCATTTCATAGCGCCGGTGCGGCGCAGGCGCGGCGGCGGATGCGAAGTGGACCCTGTGTGTCGCTCGCGCGGGGGCAGCTTTGGAGATCGCCGACCCATTGCTGGAGAGTGGTCGAAACGATGGGAGAGTTTCGGCCAATGCCTTCCCAGAGCTTCTCGATTTCTATTTGTACACTTGTTTTTTCTTTGAAATCCGATCTGTTACAGGTATATGTCGGATACTTGCTGTCCTTCTATGTTTTTTTACCTTCGCGGACATCCGCCTGGGGAAAAGGGAGACGCACCAAATCTGAATCGGCCGCCCGCCGAGTTCCAGTTGCAGCGGGCGGGCTTGTCCTCCCAGGGCCAAGGGAGCCAGCGAACCAGCAAGCCATCGCAGGGGCTCGTGCTGCTCGGGGCTCCTGGTCGCGGGCGCCTTCCAGCGTTTGCGTGAATTTCGTCATTGAGAAAAAGGACCCCTGACCTTCATAACACGATGACGACGTGGCCTCACTGAGGTCCCCGTCTTCGCAATAGGGATAATCGATCCGGGCGGTTTGGCCCAGTGCATCTGCCGAAAGACCCCATATCCCTAATGTTTCTGGCCCTCCTAACTCAGGTCCCCTCCCAAAGGGTTACGGGTCCTTTTCTGGTCCACCATCGCAGTCCGGATGCGCCAGCCTTCTGTCGCAGAGCGGCGCGCTACGGGGCACGTGGGCGCCGCTTCCTGGCAGGACGCTGCCTGTGCACCTGGACCGACGTGTGGGCCCAGGATGGGCCTGACCAGGATCGGTGCAGGTGCACGGTTTGGGATCCGTGGCAGTGCAGGGCTTCGTGGATGACCCACGGTGGGGGCGTCGGTTAAGGAAAAGCCGCCCAGGAGACTGCAGACCCTGGGGGGCTCTTTATCTGATGAGGGCGGCCATGATGTCCATTGATCGGAGTTCCACCGGTCTCCAGACCTTGGATTCCTTATCTAAGGGTTCCTTATCCAATGCCCCCATCACATCAAGCATCCGCATCGCCCCCTCCAGTCACCGCTCTTTCCCATTCTTGTCTGCTGCGACGGTAGGGCCGGTGCTTTGCTAGGGTCTCTTCCTTCCTGCTTCAGATGAGGCGGCGGCCTAGAAGGCTTGCTCATTATCGTGCTCGGGCAGCGGGGCTCCCTCTTCCTCATTCGCGCAGTACGCATTGCCTCGGACGAGGGCGGCGTCTTGATTTACGTGCGTGGGAGTATCAATAAGCGCCCTGCTGGCACGCTTTCGGACCCCACATTTAGGGGTAGTGGATCTTGTGATTTCTGGATCTGGTTTCCTCTACCCCACGGAGGCGAATCCTTGGGACGAGCAGGACGTTTACGTCGGCTCGTCTCCCTGCGACATAGTTCAACATTATTCTGGCGGCTCCCAGATCGTTTGCCTAACGCGGGCCTACACGTCCTTCGAGAACTCTGACTGGTTGACCGTGAGCGTGCGGCAATTCAGGTCAGCCCTGTTTAGTGGTCATGTTGCCACTTGCTTTCTAGCCTTCTGGGGCAGTCGAGTTCTGATACAGTCTGAGAGGAACCAGGGACTGGACATGTACGTGCCCATGCGATGCCAGCACCCTCTCTCGTTCGACTGGCTTGACCTGGGCTCGAGCAACCTCGCCTGCTCGTGCGCGGTGCTGCGACCCCATCCCTCATCCCATCCCTCACAGCTTGCTCGTGCGCACTGGCGCGACCCCACCCACCTCTCCATGCCGCTGCCGCGACCTGCACCTCCTCCTCCCACCTCGCGGGGGGCGATGGCCCCAGCCCTGGCCCGCCCGCTGCGTCCAGCTCTCCGATCTGCCGTGCTCGGACCGCTTCCGAATCTGGCCGCTGATCCGCGGGGCCAGTCCTGGGGCACCCCAGCGGGGGCCTCTGCCTGGGCTCCGACTCGTGGGCGTGTGTTTCTTCCTTGTCTTGCCGATCGGCGCCGGCCCTCGCGCCCCCCCCCCCCCCCCCGTCCCCCCCCCAAGGGAGTAGATCTTGGCTGTTCTTGGCGCTCGTTTCGAGCAGGTGGGGTCCCTCCCCCATCGGCCGCACTGCTGCAAGCAAGCAGTCGCACCAAGCCGAGGTCCGGAGCTGGACCCCCCCCCTCCGTCCAGTGTCGAAGAAACGCCGAATGAAAAACTCATGCTTGTGCGGGCGAAGAGAAGTCACTCCGTGCCTGGCCGCCACCCTGCTTCGGGCCAGGTCGGCGTTCATCCTCATGCGTAGAACTCTCGGATCCCACCTAGGTTCCACGTTTGACCCGACAGCTGTCGCAAGGAGCACGGGTGGAGTGGGAACGAGACTCTGTCTCGTCCCCAGATGTTCGACGGTGCGGTTTGTTCAGCTGCTATTTTTTTTCGCTCCCTACCGTCGGCTCCTGGAGCTTTTGGGATCGGGCCCCTGCCCTGGAGAGGCGGTCGGGGCCTCCCTGGGGCCGCAGAGTGAAACACAGCATGTCGGCGGATGTCGGGGTTGATGTGTCGGGCCCTGCGCCAGGCTCCCTCCTCCAGGGGAGGCACCAACACACCTCCTCCTCCTCCTCCTCCTCCTCCTCCTCCTCCTCCTCCTCCTCCTCCTCCTATTCATCCTCCTTCTCCCCACTCCCTCATCCATCCATCCAGCCTCCGCCTTCGCCTCCCCCCTCCTTCGCACGGTTCGGCCGCCCCCCTCTTCGCTCCCGCACGTCCCTGATCATCTCAGCTCGCCTGGACATGGTTTCCAATCATGGCTAGCCAGGGCCATCCTGGGCCCTCGCATGGCGTGCAGGATTTCCTGAAGGCCAGGAGGGTTGCTGCACCATCCCCAGCCAGGTGTCGTACACCTGCCTCCTGCTGATTTTCCCGCGCGCGCGTGGGCGCCGTGCCGGGCTCTGTGGACCTTCGCCGTTCCCCCAGTCATCAAAAGTTGTGTTCAGGCGTCCGCCAGGCAGGCTCAGGACGGGGAAGCTTCATCCCAGAGCTTTCTGCGGTGCTTTCAGGGCGTTCCTGGCAGAGTTGCGGTCCCTGAGTGAGCATCTACAGTGCTCAATGCAGGGATCTCGAAGGCACCTGTTGACACTTCGCTCAGTTCTTACGCTGCGGTACGGTGGCAGATTCGTGCGTGAAGGACAAACCCGTAGATGCAATTGTTTCACTTTCTTTTTTTGTTCGGGTGGGGGGGGGCACATCCTCACTCGGGCTTTTCTCTTCAGACTGGCCACGACTGAACATATGTCAGCACTGGGAACGTTGGCTCTCAATGACCTTGTTGCTGAGCCGCCATGGCACCTGATGATATGCAGCAGCTTGTTCTGCAGTGGCGAAGCTGCACTTCCGCCACGCGCCAGCATCCTACCGCCATCGCCTTGTCGCCTGCACTCGCAGCTTGGCGTTTCGACCTGAGTATACGTGGGGATCGTTTGATGGAGTGCCCATCAGTATTATCACTGCGAGCGCGTAAGTGCTAGTAGCGCGCCACTTGTGCATCGGCGGGTCTGAGCTGGCCCCAAACTGGGCATGGCCGTTCACCACTGGTGCATTGCATGATCCTGCAGTCAGACGAGATCGACCGAGCAGGTGCGCCCTCGCGAGTGGCCTCAGTGTGGGGATCTTTGCAAAACGCCCTTGCCCCTCCTCCCCCGTCTCGTGGTCCTGTCATCTTCGGCAACACTTCTCTCGCGACTGCTCGTGGCCACGGCGTCTCGGTTTCCAGAGAAAGCTGGTCACTCTTCCGAAGCTGCTGTGGCCTGAGTCGCTGGGTGGAGAAGAAGCACCGCCAGACATCCGACGACCTGTTTCTTTCCACCCGCGGCCCCAGAGGTCCCGATCCCCTCCCCTGGGGCAGTCTTTCGCCCCCGCTTCGTGTCTCTTGGCCCCGGGGCCGAGATCGAGGGCAAGCGGCCCAGATTGCAGGAATCATGTCGCTGGAGAGCTGGGATCTCTGAACAGTGGGAAGCCGACCCCAGCCCCCACGACAGTGGATCTTACATGTCAGCGTCTTGGGATGATGGCGAATGGCGGCCCGCGCGCGCGGTCCGGCTGGCCTGAAGTTCCTCACGTGGGGGGGGGGAGCGGGGGGGCGGCTTCCGTGCGTTCCATCTCCAGCGGCCTCGGGGACGCGGGCATCGTGCAGATGGACAGCGCGTTCCGGTACAGGACGTCGCAGTCCCCGATGCTGCACTACGCGGACGACTGGGCAGGCGCTCCACGCGCGCTCCCGGCGGGGTGGGGCCGTGGCCCGACGGGGCGGCCAGCAGGCAGGTTTCGCCTCCAGGGCGCGCCGCGTCGGCCGATCGGAGCCACGGCCAGCTCGGCGGGGTGGGTGGTTCACGCGGGGGTCAAGTCGGGCATATCACTCTACAGGGGGAATGCTCATTCAAAAAAGTCCCCCCCAAGATAGTCAGGGGATGTTTTTTTTTGTATTTTGTGACGACGTATTTTTGAATATTTTTGGACTGTTGCCAATTTTTCGTCCAACATCCGCCTGTAGGGGGATATGCCCGACCTAACGCTGGGAGGCTCCCCACCTCCGCTCGTCGCGAAAGAGTCACGACGACGCGTCCTGCCGGCTGCATGGCTTTGCGGTGGCGGGCCTCTTGGGGCTCTCACCGGGCCCCGGGACCGTCAAGAAACGCCTCGGGATGGAACGCCTGTTCTGGGGAAGGGATCCACAGATGCACCATTGTCAGCGTCAGGAGGAGGAGGAGGAGGAGGAGGAGGAGGAGGAGGAGGAGGAGGAGGAGGAGGAGGAGGAAGAGGAGGAGAGGAGGAGAGGAGGAGGAGGAGGAGGAGGAGGAGGAAGAGGAGGAGGAGGAGGCGGAGGAGGAGGAGGAGGAGGCGGAGGAGGAGGAGGAGGAGGTGGCGGAGGAGGAGGGAGGAGGAGGAGGAGGAGGAGGAGAGGAGGAGGAGGAGGAGGAGGAGGAGGAGGGGGAGGAGGAGGAGGAGGAGAGGAGGAGAGGAGGAGGAGGAGGAGGAGGAGGGAGGAGGAGGAGGAGGAGGAGGAGAGAGGGAGGAGGAGGAGGAGGAGGAGGAGGAGGAGTATGAGTATGAGTATGAGTATGACCATGTGACAAGTCAACTGTGCCAACCTTACGTGACGAATTACACATGAAGGCATGACTATACACGACCACGGCTCTGCTTCTCACGTGCACTTCAATCCTTAGGCCATAGACCACGCGAAATCCGATCGAGATATACAGCTCGATGAGTGGTGACACGCTTGGTACAGGCCTTGCCAAGTTCACGTAGGACCTCGGAGGCAAACGAACCGCATAACTTACAATACCAGAGCTTAAGATGTGTATGATACTGCATGGCATGAGATTGATCCACCCCCCCCCGCTATGTGCAGACGAGCCTGGGGGGGCTTATAAAGGATGGACCCATTACAGTTGACGGGCTGGAAGCATTCTGACTGGCGCCACTTGGTTGCAGCAGCCCTGCTGGCCGAGCCTCCACAACAAGTGCACCTCCTCCCACTCTCATCGAGAGCGTGAGAGGTAGAGAAGAGGGAGAGGGCAGCAACAGAGGGAGGACGGGGGACGGAGGAGGATGATGCTTTTTCCTGAGCGCCAGGGGCCGCATCGGCCTCCATCGCGTCGATCGTCGCCCTCAGCAGGCGCAACCGCACAAGCCTCGCTCTCCGCTCATGAATGAGAATGCGCTGGCGGAGAGACTCTGGCAGACGAGCAGCGCTGGCCGCGGCTCCTGCCACGACATCAACAACCGTGTTGCCAGTGACCGCCCATCTCGGAGCGGCCCCAGCCTGGCTCTCCGCACCCCCGAGGTGGGAGTGCACGAAAATCAAAGAGACTGAGTTGAAGCCACGCTCCTGAATGAGTTGCCCGAGCTGGGCCCACAGGTCCGCGTCGGGCCCGCTCGGACACTCGAAACGCCTGGCGTACCAGCCTTTGATGACAGGCTCGCAATCTGTGACATACGTGATGCAGCCGCTTGTAGCCCAAACAGCTAGAAGCAGGCTCCTCAGCTCTCCACGGGGGACAGCTTGCCTGTCACCGCAGAGTGGCCCACTGATGGTCCCAGCTATGGACACTGTGGGCTCCAGCTCATGGAAAAGTGCGATGGCACACCCGATGCGACGAAACTTGGTGACCGCAGTGTCGGGGCCACCACTGGCGTCGCCAAAGAGCAAAAGAGGAGCTTGGCCCGTACCATGTCCTAGGCATCCTGGGCCAAGCTCAAAAGGACCTGTCACAACCCAAGCCTCCTCGCGGGCAGGAGGTGGGGCGGCCACCCAAGGGGGGGGCAGCAGCCCCCCTTAGCCAAAAAGCAGGCTCAGCCTCCGCTTGCACGGTGGCCTGGTACACAAGATCCTCTGTCATGGTGTACGCCTCCTTATTAGTGTTGAAACTGCACGTCCAAAAGCGATGGAGAGGCGTCTCAGGCTCAAGCTGGCATCGAGGACACTTGTCGGTGCCAGCAAACCGTGGGATCTCAGCCTTCTTCCTTGTACGCGTCCACGTGCTGCCAACTGCGACCGACAGCATAACTTCACTCAGCCGATGACCGGTCTGTGGTACGTCATGTAATTGCTGGATCAGAACACGATAGGAGTCTATATCAGATCCGTCCTGCAATCCTTCACCACAGTGGTGCCGACTCGCCTGCTGCCAGTACCGTCGCTGCAGTACCTCCGAGAAATCCTTGAGGAAACCTGCATGACTGTCCAGAGCCTTCACTCCAGTGTACATCGCATCATCAAATCTCCACTCGTCACCCGCAAACTCATGAGGCTCAGGGATACCCCGCCCAGTAGCCGAGGATACAGACCATCCAGACTCGATAAGATGCAAGACGGCTGCTGAGACTGGCCCTCGGACGTACTTGGTGCGGTGCCGTTCTGGAACTCCTTGAAGCTGCTGCACCACTGTCTGCCAAATTCGAGATACCCCTGACCGCACATCAGGATGATCACGCCATATGGATAAATACATGTCTAGGCACTGCACTGGGAGCTTGACGCCTGTGTCCTGCTGCGGTGCTCGGATCGCCAACAGCGTTGTCAAGCACCTGCCTCGCGTCGGCGCCGCGCGTGCAAGACCCAGCCGTCGCCGTGCCTGCACCAGCCGCTGGCCGAAGGTCCCGTGCACCTTGAAGCCGTAGGTGCCCGCGGCCTGTGCCCCCTGGAGCTCCAGGCGGCGCGTTGCCTTGTAGCGACGCGCCGCCCTGGCGAACCTCCCGATCTTCAGGCTCATGCCCTTGTGCTTAGCGTCCCTCTTGTTGCGCGTGGAGCGTGCAGCACGAACTCCGCAACTGAGGTCCACTCCAAGGAAGCTCGCCTGGGACTGGGCCGTGATGTGATACCCAGCCTGTCGAACAGCACGCGCCACCCATCTGGCATCGGCAACATCAGTACACATGACCACCGACTTCGGGGACACCCGCAGCTTGCTGGCCTCCAGGGACCTGCAGGTGTCCAAGATGCAGGCCCTCAGCCCGCGACGGACGTGTGCTCGTGATCCTCGTACCTGCTGTGAAAGGTCGTCAACCCAGACGCGATGGCTCACCAGCGGATGCTCCTCGACAACCCGCTTCAGCACGAAATGAGTGAGCGTCCGACCGAATCTAGTGCCTGACCGCAGCCCTTGGACGATGCTGCGCGTGGGCTGGAATGGGGCGGATGTCGCCCCCCAACTGGCTGAGCACCCTCGGCGACACGCACTGAAGAAGCTCCATGTATAGTATCACGGGTGGGAAATGCATCTCCAGCGCGGACTCGACCAGGTAGGGCCACTCGATCGAGTCGTAGAAGCCATCGGTCTCAACTAAGCCATGGCCTACATGAACGTTCAAGTGGCCACAAACCTCCTCCTGAATAGCTCGGAGATGCGCTTCTCTCACACTGGAATTGCCTCGCACCGCAGCATCCCAACGCTCCTCCGTCTCCGCCGACCACCCTCGCACCAGCGGTTCTCTGATCAAGGACCAGAGGCGGCCGAGCAGCGGAACCAATCCGATGATCCGATCTCCTTGCACCTTCTTGGGGAGCATCCTCCCCAAGATCAACAGAAGCTGGCCAGGCCAGCACAAGCAGGCCTCGCACGCTGTGAACAGCAGCGCAAGTTCAGCCAGTGCCGTGTCTGGTAACCTCTCTAGGTCGACTGGCGATGAGAAATCGACCCCCTGTCTTGTGGATGCCTTCATCTGCTTCAACGCCGTCCTGATGTCGCGCACGCTGATAGGTTCCAGCGGGTCACCTTCCACAGCGTCCTCCACTCTCTGGAAGACTCTCATGACCATGGCCTCGTCGAGTGGAGCGGGTGCCCACTTGTCGTGCCACTTGGTTGACTTGGCGTCGATGATGTCGCGAGGGTGGCAAAGAACATGGCCCTGATGCTCGTGCTCAAGATCCACCAACGGAGTAGGACATACGGGCCGATGCAATATCCCCAACGACTTCTCGTCAGCCGCAAACTTCTGAAACTCACACAAAGACTGCTGGATGGCCCTCCTCTGAGCCCGGCCGCAGATCTGTTTTGCTCCATGTACGAGGCCGTCCAGCATGTACACGGAGCACGCACCGATATCCGGAAGAGCAGCCTGCCACTCATGCCACTCGAGATCTTTGCCTGGTAGAAGAACAGTATGCGCACGCTCGGGACAGGTCTCAGCGTGTTTCTTGACCGAATCACGATAACGTCGTTGCTGGGCCTCCCCGTTGTTCTTCCGACGGTGGAGCGCCAGCGCGTACAGTAGTGTATGTAGTTGTATCCACCGGCCACTCAGCCGATCCCGCAAGGGCGACGTACGGCTCTTGGCTGGCATCCTCAGCTCCTGCACCACGAAATGCACTCCAGCTGACCTGGGAGGCCCAGCGGGCAGCGCGACCCCATGGTGACTGGCAATCGTGGATTCAACAGAGGACACCCAACTGGCGTAGAGGCCTGAAACTAAAGACAACTGTGCTGGTTTGAGCCTAAAGGGTACGGAGGAACGCAGGGCAGGGCAAAGAGGGTCAAGGGGCGGAGATCCAGAGATAAAACCTACCTCCTGACGGACCCGCTCCCACGTAGCCTCAGGGATGTGGAAGGTATGAACATTCTGGTCAGAGCTCGACCCATGCTCAGGAGAGGCCGGTTGTTGCACGTTACTGTCGGCCGTCTCCGAGCTACTTGCAGCACCAGAACGTTCATCCGAGGCCTCTGAGGCCTCGGGCCGAATTGGATGCTGGGAGTCC